GCAGACTGGTGGCCGGGAGGAGCCACATGGCTCAACTCTGGTACAGGCTTTCAGGCAGGATTAAAATGGCCGACTGTTTAAGAGAGGCCACTCCTCTCACACAGGGATACAAGGCAGGGCACTGCCTTGCTGGAGGAGACCCGGCATTTCTCTCTTAGTCCACAAGTGGGTGGGCTGCTTCTGTCAAACTGCCTGTGGTTGGGGGAAGTCCTGCTCCTCAGTGACCAAAACATAAACTGGCAGAGGTGGGATTGCCTTATTTTACCTGGGCGCCGGGGGGGTTTTGGTTTGTCAGGAGTCACAGAGGTTCTCTGCCTCCTAGTTCCTACCATGCTCTATGGAAGGGGCAGGGGGGTGATGGTGGCCTCTGGAGAGCTAGCCGAGTTTGCAGCACTGAACAGGGGCTAGGCATTGGTGCAACTGGAGAAATGTCCCCAAAGTGGGCGTGTCACCCTGGCCGGGGGCAGGAGAGGAAGGAAGAGGGGAGCGCCCAAGAGCTGCAGACTACCCCTGCAGGGTGTGTCTTGCAAAGTCTCTCCGTGGAAAGGGGAGGAGGGTGACTGGCAGCTGCTGGCTCCAAGACTCACAAGAAACTGGAGTCAGCTGGGCCCTACATGGACCCAACCAGTATTTCTGTCCTGATTCCAGGCTGCTCTCTGAACCTTCCCCACAGCAGAGCGGGTGTGTGGGCGTGTGTGAGGGAGGTTAGTTTGTTTCTCCCTTGACTAGGACTGCAAATGTGCTGGGGAAGTGAGTACAATCTCTTCTGTTCATTCATCACTTTCTTCGCTCCAATGGTACTCTTTGGATCGTGTCTGGCCTGAATCTGGAGGTGGTTGGGGTGTGGAGCTGACCTTCTCTGTGTCACGAGGTGTTCATCTGATAAGCCTCAGCTCGAGTTTCCAGGCATACCTTTTCAATCCCCCTTTTAGACTTTCTTGCCAAGAGCAGTAATCGGTCTCTAGTTGGTCATCTTGGCCCTACCCACACCCCACCAGGTGGCATTTATGGAGATGGGAGATATGACAGGAAGAAAAAGATTTTGCTGAAAAGATACATGTTTGGACCATGCTAAAAATATTGCTATGATACATCCAGGTGGCATTGCCAATCGATAGCTAGCGATGGAACTCCTGGTCTAGGGGAGAATTTTGGCCTAGAGATACAAATTTGGTCTTTTCAGCTTCTCAGTAATTTCTTAATTAGCATGACACCTACATTGTCTATCTTCTGTATCATTCACATCAGTTTCAAACCTGTTCTAGTATTACCCATCACTTAAAAACTAAAACTAAAATAAATTAGATATTACTTCATTTCTTTGCTTCCCTTTATAACAAAATTTCTCACCTTTTAAAGAGGGTAATAGATTTAAAAGTTTATGAGATCAATGGCTTAGAAGGTCATGGTGAGATCAAACAATTATAGCAGAGAAATATTAATAGACTTAGGAGGTGGTGATTTAGAAAGTGGGATATTTGAACTAAATTAAAGAATTTTTAACAAAGGGAATCATAGTGCCATTGTATAGCCAAACCCAGTGTTAGCATTTAGCTGGCATGCATTAGCTCAGTCTCTCAAGAGCTTCACAGTCAGTGTCATCTGACTCATTGTTGCCCCTATTGGTTATTGAATATTTTGAGTATCCCTCTTGGCCAAACAACAAATTTAAGGAACAATGACAAAGTGCATCCAAAGAGCATTAATAACCAGGATGCAGTAGGGTGTGGACACCATGAGCATGTTTACCTTGGAGAAAAGAAAAGACAGAAGGATCATAATTCTTTTTAAATGCTTATGGAATTCTCATGTAGAGGCTGTCAAGTCATGTCTAATATTTGCCCTGCTTTATCTAATAGCTATTAGATATTTATTCAGGCATAGTCCTAAGAACTTATAACTCTCTTAATCTTAACAATCCTGTGAGTGTATGTTACATTATCCTCATTTTAAATATGAGGAAACTAAGTCACAAAAAGATTGAATAACTCACCCCCATGACATAGCTAATAAGAAAAGAAAGTAGGACTCAACCCAAGCACTCTGTGTCAGTATACTAGCCATGTGGTAGTCATAACATGGATGCCTTTTGACTTAAGTTGAGGAAGAATATTCTAGCAATTAGAACAGTTCAGAAAGAGAAATCATTCTTATATTCCATGTCATATCTTCAAGACCAGTAATCATATGCTTGGAGGCATTTTAGAGGGAACTCTGTGTTAGGTAAAAGGTTGAGCTAAATAATCTCTAAGTCTATATTTAAATTAGCCCCTTCTCATTCTGCCACCTATCTTAAACCTACAGATTATGTGAATGTATTATCTCTATTTCAGTTTAAGTCATTAATAGAAATGCTATACATGGCATTTCTATTAAGACCTTCCCTGCAGGTTAACATTTCTTGCATGGCTACTTAATCAGCTGCAGAACTTCCTAGACATATAATTATCTACTTACCATTTGCTATCTGTACATAGGGACATCACAAGATACTTTATTCAGTGCTTCCCTGAAGTCAAGGTTCATTAAGTTTATCCCATTCCCCCTAGCCATTATCTAATTAGCTCTTTTAAAAAATGAAATTAGGTTAATTTAGTGTGGCATGTTAAGAATCCCATGCTGACTTCTTGTGACCACTGATTCCTTCTCCAAGTATTCAAAAACCATCTGTCTAATAATTTGCTGTAAAATTTTGCTGAGACTTATTTTTATTTAACTAATATTTACAATACTTTGTAAATACCAATTGATTTAATCTTATGTAAATATTATTTTTATCTCTATCTTACAGATGAGAATATTGAGACACAGAGAGACTGAGAAACTTGCCCAAGGTCACATAGTTAATAAATGGTAGAGTTGGTTCAGGTCAGCAAAGTTTGGCTATAGATCCTGTGCCTATAAACACTAAACTGTGTTCCTTCACTGATATGACCCTGGAAACTCCCTATGCCTCTTTCTTTTCTCTGTCTCCTACCAAACCTCTCCCATACCACAGATGTCCTTTTTCAAAAACAGAAAAACATTTTTTCATTTCCATTATTTTAAGACTTCCAAGGTATCCTTTTATTTGACAGGGGTATATCACCAAAGTTTCACATTGCTTCCAGCCCACCACACAGAGCTTCCTTAAGGATAAGAATGGTGTAGAGATTAACTATTCTCCATCTTTCTTTCTTAGGTTTTAAAGTATTTCTTTTTGGTAAGTTGAATACTAATAAAATATTGCGGTCACACATGTGTATACATAGTACAAAGGTCTAAGGGTGACCACATATAATGTGGATTAAAATCCACCTGTAAACCTTAATGCAGCAAAAACAGTTCTAAATACTTTGTGGTGTTTTTTCCCCCCAAAGATCTGGGATGGTCTTAATTTTATAGAGTTTCTTGTTTGTTGGCTTATATTATTAAAAGGAAGAGGGAATTCACAGTTTACATGATATCCGCAAAATAGGAGGCCTACTCATACTACCCTTCACTTCCTCCTCATTACTTATCGGGAGTCTTGCTCTCACGGGTATTCCCTTCCTCACAGGCTTCTATTCTAAAGACCTAATCATCGAAGCCGCCAACACTTCATATACCAACGCCTGAGCCCTCTCTATTACACTACTTGCCACGTCCTTAACAGCCGTCTACAGCACACACATCAGTTTCTTTGCACTCCTAGGTCAACCCTGCTTCCCAACTTCAACAAATATCAACGAAAATAATCCCCTCCTAATTAACCCTATTAAATGCTTAACCCTAGGCAGCATCTTCGCGGGTTTTCTTATCTCGCATTCCATTCCTCCTATAATAACTCCACAAATAACCATACCACTATACCTAAAACTCTCAGCACTTACTGTCACCATGCTAGGGTTTACACTAGCAATAGAACTCAATAACCTCACATATTTCCTCAAACTAAAATGACCTACTCAACCCCTCCTATTCTTGAATCTACTAGGCTTTTTCCCAATCACAACTCATCGCCTATCTCCTCTTATAAAAATATATGTAAGTCAAAACACAGCATCCTCACTTCTAGACCTCCTCTGATTAGAAAAAACAATACCAAAAACCACAGCCATAGCCCATATATACACATCCACAATCACCTCCAACCAATCAGGCATAATTAAACTATACTTTTTGTCCTTTCTTATTACTATTATACTTGGGACCCTTCTTATTATCTAAAACCCCGAGTAATCTCAATCACAATAAAAATAGTAACAAATAAAGATCAACCAGCAACCCCCATCAATCAACTACCATCACTATATAAAGATGCCACCCCTACAGAATCTTCACGAAATAAACTAAATATATCACCCCCAAAAGCAACCCAAGTTTACATGTATCTAAAGAGAAAGTAGAAATGAGTTCTGATGTAGAATAGAGAAATACAAATCTATTGTGCTAAAAACTTTTTGTTTTAAATAAATTTTTGTTGTGATATAGAAATCAACAGTAAAGAGTATTACAAATGAGCATATCTTTTAATTCCCAAATTATATAGCTATGGAGAAGTTTGATTTTCTTCATATTTGAGGAAATTCATACTTAAATAAGTTTCTTGTTAATTAAAAATTTTTGTGTTAAATCAAAGAATGGAATAAACACAGTACTAGAAATTTCTCTTATGCTTTTCCTTTATGTATAATGTATTTTGGGTATGTGAGGTATAAAGTATTTTGGTATATCTAGATATCTGTTATGATGGGACAATACAAATAATGCCAAATAAAGAAAAATAATAATTTCATGACTAGATAGAATATTTTTATTTCTTTTTATAAAAGTGAGTTTGTGTTTAGTTTTCTAAAGATGTATATATTAATACTTAGCTTTATTGATTTGGTCATTTTAAAAGCAATGCAAGAAAAGATAAAGGTCTCATCTCTTAATAAGATTTCTAGTTTTGAACTTACAAAATAACCATTTCCATTCTGAGATTTTAATAGACTTTTATTAATATGTCTATCTAATGTTTTGTTATCTTTCCTAAGGGATAACAGTAGAAAATAATACAGGGATTTGGCCAACCCAAGACAAATGTGGAATTCCAGTTGTTGACCCATTTCTAGTGGAAAAGTCTGAGAAAAATACAAATGCCAAGGTAGGAGGATAATTTGAGTCTAGGAGTTCAAGACTAATCTAGGCAAAATAATGAGACTTTGCCTCTACAAACAATTATAATAAAGTAAAAATTACTGGGATATGGTGGCACACACCTGTAATCCAGGCTACTTGGGATGTTCAGGTAGAAGGACTAATTGCCTGAGCCCAGGAATCTGAGGCTGGAGTGAGCCATAATCGTGCCATTTCATTCTAGCCTGGGCAACAGAGTGAGACCTTGACAAGAAAGAAAGAAAGAAAGAGGAGAGAGAAAGGGAGAAAGGGAGAAAAGGAGAAAGGGAAAAGGGGAGAAAGGGAGAAAGAGAGAAAGAGAGAGAGAGGGAAAAGGAGAAAGGGAAAGGGGAGAAAGGGAGAAAGAGAGAAAGAGAGAAAGAGAGAGAGAGGGGAAGGAAGGAAGGAAGGGAGGAAGGAAGGAATAAAAAGAAATACAAATGTGAGGCTAGCCAAGTGTGGAGAGCCAAGGGTGTTTGGTGGCCATGTCGCACCTGCAACCTCGTGGCCAGTCAACTGGCAGCACCAAGAACAACATTACTGTGTGATCAGAACAACCTTGATCGCAAAACAGTGGGTCCTGTCAGTGGCTCACTGTAACTTTAGGTCTGTGCCTGTGGGCTGCAGGGGCTTGGTGGCTGTTCAAGGGCTCACAGTGGGTGTACCCCCTCCACTTTCCACACATTGCAAGAGATAGGAAGCATTATGCTCCCACTGATACAGTCTCCATCTTGCGAAAGAATGAACATAATAGGCCAATGAAACTTTCTGCTTCACCAATACACTTAGCACTATTTGCTTTTAATTTTAAAAGCTGCTTCCTGCTTTCAGATGCTTCTTCACTAAGTATGTAACAATACTCTCCTCTCTTTCCTCACCTATAAAATGGTGTCTTAACATATGCTCGCCAGTATATGAATACAGTACCTGGAACACTAGGGGTGCTCAAAGGTAGAGCCCATTCCTCCTTGCTCCTCCATTGAGGGTCCGATCATCACATCACACCTACTCCCAAGATAAATATCTAAAGCTCTGGAGAAATTTAAAGGAGATTCTTTACAGGAAAATTTTTTCTTTGATTTCATCTGAATCTTGTCTCAATGTGATATCAAGACACTATCTGAAAACTCCTTCTTCAGTTTAAAATTTCCTCAGGATTGAAAATCTGATCTCCTAGAAGTAGTGAGATGTTTGAGACTATTGCATAAAGTCCTATAGCTAAATGATTAGATACAATGTTTTCAGTGTCTCTAAGACGGTAGATACTTTTACTTGCTCAAATAACTTGGTGAACCAGAACCCTTCAATGAACCAAAGCCTCATTTTCTTTATCATCCCCCAACTCTTACTTTCGAATAGATAAATCACAAGAAGACATCCTACTAAGGCATTTTTCAGACTTTTACGTACCCAAAATTATCTGGAGAGTGTCTTATAAATGGAATCTTAGAATCTGAATTCTGAATTTTGATTTGATGAGTTTCATCTAGGATTCTACATTCTTAATGCAATGCAAGATTTAACATATATTGTCCCCAGACACTTCTTTGAAAAACACTGTATTGGAAGTAGAGAAAATATTGCCTTTTACTTTCAGAAGAGCTTTCAGCGACAATTATATAAGTATATAATGTATAGTTTTATGATTGTAATAATGTACAGAATCATTACCTTGAGTTGCAATTGAATCTTAATAATTGTATTTTATTTGATATTATGTAGGCAAGAAGGTAGATACATTAAAATTTTTCTAAGCAATTAAAATTATTAAGGAGAAATCCTATTTTCCAAGAATTCAAGATATAAAAATTCTAATAAAGATTAAAAATGTTAGAAAATATGTTTTTAGTAATTATGAAAAATTAAAATGGCCTCGTTAAAAGTGGTATCTACATGCAACAAAATGAAGAATCTCTAAAGCATTATGCTAAGTAAAAAAAAGCGAGTCACAAAGGTTGACATACTATATGACTCATTTGTATAACTGTTTGAAATAGGCAAAACTATAATGACAAGCAAACATATCAGTGTTTGCCAGAAGATGGGATGCAGGAAAGGAATTAACTCTAAAGGTACATGAGGAAATTTTGGGGGTGCTGAAAATATTCTACATCTTAATTGTGGTGGTAGGAATTTGTCAAAACTCACTGAGCTGACAGTTAAAAAGGGTGAATTTTAGGGTATGTATGCTCCAATAAAAAAGTCTGACTTCTAAAAAAAAAAAAAAAAAAAAAGTGGTATCTATTTCCCAATCCCTTTTCTTATGACAAGTCCCATCACAGACAACCTGGTAATAGAAAGAAGTTACCTCCAGAACAAAGAAAATAGTGATTTGATACCAATGAAGACTGTCTACACTCACCCTGGCTTCTCCCAATTTCCCTCTCATAATGATCTATTGTTGTTGCATGTGGAAAAACTCGTAGAACTAGGTCAGTATGTGTAACTCTTTCATATTTTGAACCTTTGTTATACAATTTATAGGTTTCGTCTTGCTTAGAAGTGCTATACATACTTCTGAAGTGAAAAAACTATTTCAGAACTTTTTTATATTTACATACTTTCTCTAAAAGCCAAAGTATCTGTATAAATATCTTAATTGTATGTGTTTTTAATTGGTGGAGAACTAGAGAAGATTTCAAAGAAATTCATTTATAACTTCGTCTTACTTATTCTTGAGAGTCTGTGTCCTCTAAGGCTACAACAAATATTTAGAACAGGAACTTGAATCATCAGATATTCATTTTCTGTACTTTCATGACATCGTTAAAATCTTAATCTTGTTTAATGGTTGCTTAAACTAAAGCTAATGTGAAAATTGGGTGAGGAATTGTTACTCTAGCCCTGTCTCGTAGCAGCCATGTGGTCTTGGGCAGATTACTTGACTTCTCTATGCCTCAGCTTTATTATCTGTAGAAAGGAAATAGCAGTACCCTGCCCACCTACTTAGCACAGTTGAATATTCAGTGAGAGAGCATACTGGGGGATCTCAAACTAAGCCTCTCCATTCTCATGCCCAGGCCTTTTCATGGACTCACAAGGTTCTGGAACAGGTTTCTACATTCTTTATCTGTTCCTCTGCCAGTAGTCTCATCCCTGTTGTTCTGTCTTTTCAATGCATTCATCCTGCAAACCACCAATCATGGCTGAGTCCATCATTTGCTTTCTGTGCTTTTCTAAGCGAGTCAGTCAGTACATCTAGATCATGCTTCTTAATCTTGGCTACACATTATCATCCCCTGGGTTGCTTTACAAAACACTCTCACACACTTGCAATCCAGGCTGCATTTTGAACCAATTAAATCACAGTCTCAGGAGTTAAGACCTGGCATCAGCAATTTTCCTTCTTCTTGCCCTGTTTTATTCATTTAATTTTAATTAAACTTTTTACATTGGGATAATTGTAGATTCACATATGGTTCAAAAAATAATACAGATACCTAACGGTAACATCTTTCAGGATCTCAATATTGATACATCAAGAGACAGAACATTCCCATCACCACAAGGATCCCTTTAATAGCAATGACCACTTCCCTCGCTTCTTCCCAGACTTCTGGCAACCACTGATCTGTTCTCTATTTCTAGAATTCTGCCATTTCAAAAGTGCTATATAGTTAGAACCATACAATATGTAACCTTTTGGAATTGACTTTTTTCTACTCAGCATAATGCCCTGGAGATCTAAGTTTCGCTGTGCTTGTATCACCATTTGTTCCTTTTTTTGCTCAATAGTATTCCATGGTGTGAAGGTACCACAGTTTGGATAGTCATTCATCTGTTGAAGAATACCTAGGTTGTTTCCAGCTTTTGGCTAATATAAATAAAGTTCTCATGGACATTTGTGTAGAGGCTTTTGTGTGAACATGTGTTTTCATTTCAGCGGGACAAATGCCCAGGAATGGGTTATATAGTAATTGCGTGTTTAGTTTTGCAATAAACTGCTAAACTGTTTTTGCAGAGTAGTTGTACCATTTTGCATTCCCAGCAGCAATGTATAAATGGTCCAGTTTTTCTGTATCCTTATTGGCATTTGCTATTGTCACTATTTTTTTTTTAAATCTTAGACATTCTGGTAAGTGTGTAATGATATCTTATTGTGTTTTCCTGATGTGATATTGAACATCATTTCATGTACTTATTTACCATTTTTTAACCTCTTTAATGAAATGTCTCTTCATATTTCTAGCCTATTTTCTAATTGAATTTTCTTATTGTGAAATTTGAGAAGTCTTTATATATTCTAGATACTAGTCCTTGTCAAATATGTGGTTTGCAAATATTCTTTCCCACTCTATAGCTTTTATGATACTCTTTTTGTTTGTGTGGTTTTTGAGTTGGAGTCTCACTCTGTCACCCAGGTTGGAATTCAGTACATGGCCATCCCAGCGTCGACCTTCTGAGCTCAAGCGATCCTTCTGCCTCAGCCTTCCAAGTAGTTGGAATTACAGGCATGCACTGCAAGCCCAGCTAATTTTTTGATTTATTGTAGAGATAAGGTCTCACCAAGTTGCCCGGGCTGTTCTCGAACCCGTGGGCGCAGGTAATCCTCTCACATTGGCCTCCTCAAGTTTTAGGATTACAGACTTGAGCCACTGTACCTGGTCTATAATGCTCTTAATAGAGTCCTTCACAAAGCAAAGATTTTTAATTTTAATGATGTCCAATTCCTTTATTTTTAAAAGATGGACTGTCCTTTTGGTGTCAAATCTAAGAATTATTTGTCTAGAAACTTCGGATTTTTTGCTTTGCTTTTCCTAAAAGTTTTATAGCCTTACATTTTACACTTAATTTTTATGATCCATTTTTAGTTAATTTTTATATAATGTGTAAGGTTTAGGTTGGATTCTTTTTTCCCCCCCAAGGATGCCCAATTGCTCCAACACCATCTCTTTTGTGCTTTGCCATAAATCAACTGAGCATATTTGTGTGAGTCTATTTCTGGGATCTCTATTCTGTTGATCTATGGGTTTATCTCTTCACCAATAA